ATATCAGGATCAAATTCACACATAACAGTATTAACCTTAAATGTAAATGGGCTTAATGCCCCAATTAAGAGACACAGACTGGCAAATAGGATAAAGAGTCAAGACCCATCAGTGTGCTGTATTCAGGAGACCCATCTCACGTGCAGAGACACAGATAGGCTCAAAATAAAGGGATGGAGAAAGATCTACCAAGCAAAGGGAAAGCAAAAAAAAGCAGGGGTTCTGATCCTAGTCTCTGATAAAACAAACTTTAAACCAACAAAGATCAAAAGAGACAAAGAAGGCCATTACATAATGGTAAAGGGACCAACTCAATAAGAAGAGGTAACTATCCTAAATATATATGCACCCAATACAGGAGTACCCAGATTCATAAAGCAAGTCCTTAGAGACCTCCAAAGAGACTTAGACTCCTACACAATAATAATGGGAGACTTTAACACCCTACTGTCCATATTAGACAGATCAACAAGACAGAGGGTTAACAAAGATATCCAGGACTTGAACTCAGCTCTGCACCAAGTAGACCTAATAGACATCTACAGAACTCTCCACCTCAAATCAACAGAATATACATTCTTCTCAGCACCACATCACACTTATTCCAAAATTGACCACATGATTGGAAGTAAAGCACTCCTCAGCAAACATAAAAGAACAGAAATCACAACAAACTGTCTCTCAGACCACAGTGCAATCAAATTAAAACTCAAGATAAAGAAACTCACTGAAAACCGCACGGGTACATGGAAACTGAAAAACCTGCTCCTAAATGACTACTGGGTAAATAACAAAATGAAGGCAGAAATAAAGATGTTCTTTGAAACCAATGAGAACAAAGACACAACGTACCAGAATCTCTGGGACACATTTAAAGTAGTGTGTAGAGGGAAATTTATAACACTAAATGCCCACAAGAGAAAGGAGGAAAGATCTAAAATAAACACCCTAACATTACAAGTAAAAGAACTAGAAAAGCAAGAACAAACACATTCAAAAGTTAGCAGAAGGTAAGAAATAACTAAGATCAGAGCAGAACTGAAGGAGATAGAGACACAAAAAAACCCTTCAAAAAATCAATGAATCCAGGAGCTGGTTTTTTGAAAAGATCAACAAAATAGACTGCTAGCAAGACTAAAAAAGAAGAAAAGAGAGAAAAATCAAATAGACGCATTAAAAAATGATAAAGGGGATATCACCACCGACCCCACAGAAATACAAACTACCATCAGAAAATACTATAAATACCTCTATGCAAATAAACTAGAACATCTAAAAGAAATGGATTAATTCCTGGACACATACACCCTCCAAAGATTAAACCAGGAAGAAGTTGAATCTCTGAATAGACCAATAACAGGCTCTGAAATTGAGACAATAATTAATAACCTACCAACCAAAAAAATTCCACAACCAGATGGATTCACAGCCAAATTCTATCAGAGGTACAAAGAGGAGCTGGTACCATTCCTTCTGAAACTATTCCAATCAATAGAAAAAGAGAGAATTCTCCCTAACTCATTTTATGAGGCCAGCATCATCCTGATACCAAAGCCTGACAGAGACATAACCAAAAAAGAGAATTTGAGACCAATATCCCTGATGAACATCGATGCAAACATCCTGAATAAAATACTGGCAAACTGAACCCAGTAGCACATCAAAAAGCTTATCCACCATGATCAAGTCAGCTTCATCCCTGGGATGCAAGGCTGGTTCAACATATGCAAATCAGTAAATATAATCCATCACATAAACAGAACCAAAGACAAAAACCACATGATTATCTCAATAGATTCAGAAAAGGCCTTTGACAAATTTCAACAGCCTTCATGCTAAAAAATCTCAATAAACTAGGTATTGATGGAATGTATCTCAAAATAATAAGAGCTATTTATGACAAACCCACTGCTAATATCATACTGAATGGGCAAAAACTGGAAGAATTCCCTTTGAAAACTGGCACAAGACAGGGATGCCCTCTCTCGTTACTCCTATTCAACATAGTGTTGGAAATTCTGACCAGGGCAATCAGGCAAGGGAACGAAATAAAGGGTATTCAATTAGGAAAAGACGAAGTCAAATTGTCCCTGTTTGCAGATGACATGATTGTATATTTAGAAAACCCCATCGTCTCAGCCCAAAGTCTCCTTAAGCTGATAAGCAACTTCAGCAAAGTCTCGGGATACAAAGTCAATGTGCAAAAATCACAAGCATTCCTATACATCAATAACAAAAAAACAGAGAGCCAAATCATGAGTGAACTCCCATTCACAATTGCTACAAAGAGAATAAAATACCTAGGAATCCAACTTACAAGGGATGTGAAGGAGCTCTTCAAGGAGAACTGCAAACCACTGCTCAATGAAATAAAGAAGGTCACAAACAAATGCAAGAACATTCCGTGCTCATAGATAGGAAGAATCAATATCATGAAAATGGCCATACTGCCCAAGGTAATTTATAGATTCAATGCCATCCCCATCAAGCTACCAATGACTTTCTTCACAGAATTGGAAAAAACTGAAGTTCATATGGAACCAACAAAGAGCCTACATTGCCAAGACAATCCTAAGCAATATAACAATTCCTCCTCCCTACCTCAGAGGAAATATAACAGAGTCCGCAAATGGGAATATAATCTCCTTTGTTCAAACTTCTAGAATGGGCATGAGGAAAACCAGAGCTATATACATCATCAGTGGGACTGACTATGCAGACACCATAGAAGGTCATGAAGTGGCCTTTGGCAGAGACTGGTGTTGTTCCCCAATTTTCATTCTTTCTTCCTTTATTTCTTGTAGTAGGTCCCCCAGAAAAAAAACTGGGCACATAGCTTCTTGGAATGAAGACTAGATTTCCCAGCCTCCTTTGGTGACTTAATTTTAAGCAATAAGATTTAAGAGGAAACAGTGTGTGCATGTCCTGGGAACATCCTTTAAGAGAGAGGTGTCCTTTGTCCCCATGATCTCTTTTGATGCTTGGAGTGCAGGTGTGATAGCAGCACTATAGTGAATGCTTATAATTTTATTTGTCTCAGCATTAATTTTGAATATTAACTGGACTTTCCCATACCAGCAGCAGGGCTCAGTTACCCTCAATACAGTTTCCAGTTCTATACTTTATCCCAGTTCTCCTGTGTGGCCAATCCAGATAGCTGCCTTATACAACTGCCTCCTGGTGACCAGCTCACTATGGGTCAACTGGATATTCCCTGCTCCACTAGCCCTGCTGACCCCCACACCCTGTATCGACTGTGCAGACACGCTTCAGTGACCACCTCTGCATGCTCCTGGAACTCATGCCTGCTTGCTCTAAATCCACCAACTAAAACTCCCTGTGGGAAACCTATTTAAATAATGCCCTGGACCCAATAAAGGGATCCCTTTCTCTCTGTCCCTGCCTGTGCTCCCTGACCTCCAGGCATGCTGTGTAGCCCTCAGGGTCTGCAACTACTAAAATCTCTTAAACTTTCACATTGTGGTTGTGTCATTGAAGCCATGCCTGAAACCTGACCCCTATGGCAAGGCTACCCCAAAGGGACCCACACAGGTGGATGTCCTGCTGTTCTTCTGTCCAGACCTCTGTTAGCTGCTGCGGACAGTAGCTACAAGCCAAATTGATAGAAAAAACTGTTTTGAATGAAGCGATTCATTTAAAACATGGACCGGACTGGCACAGTGGCTCACACTTGTAATCCCAGCACTTTGGGAGGCCGAGGCAGGTGGATCACGAAGTCAGGTGATCGAGACCATCCTGGCTAACACGGTGAAACCCTGTCTCTACTAAAAATTACAAAAATATTAGCTGGGCGTGGTGGCAGGCGCCTGTAGTCCCAGCTACTCCGGAGGCTGAGGCAAGAGAATGGCGTGAACCTAGGAGGCGGAGCTTGCAGTGAGCCAAGACTGCACCACTGCACTCCTGCCTGGGCGACAGAGCGAGACTCCATCTCAAAAAAGAAAAAAGAAAAAAAAAAAAAAAACAAAATTAGCCAGGCGTGGTGGTGCATGCCTGTAATCCCAGCTACTTGGGAGGTTGAGGCAGGAGAATCGCTTGAACCCTGGAGGCGGAGGTTGCAGTGAGCCGAGATCATACCATTGCACTCCAGCCTGGGCAACAAGAGTCACAAGAGTGAAACTCCGTCTAAAACAAACAAACAAACAAACAAACAAACAAACATGGATCTACAGCAAGCTATCTTGGGCCATGAGGTGATTTAGGAATAGTATCCATTCACTGAAGAGCAACAGGACAGAGTGTGACCTATGCACAACATACATACTAATCCTGGGCTGCCTGCCTAGATGTTGATGTGTGAAAAAAACTTGGGTTCGTTTACATATTCTGGCACTCACTGCCAGACAGAACTCTAATTAATAAATTTTCACCTCAAAAAGATCATCCTAAATGTGCAAGCAGTTAACAACAGAACTTCCAAGCACATGGAACAACTGTGGATAGAACTGAAAGGAGAAGTTGTCAAATCCACAATTATAGCTGGAGACACAACATTCCTTGCTCAGTAATAGATAGAATGAGTGGACAGAAATTAGGAAGGATATAGAAGAGTTGAACCACACCATCAACAGCTGGATCTCACTGCATTTATAATACAATCCACAACAATATCAGAATACGCATTCTTTTCAAGTGCTCATGGAACATTCACCAAGACAGACCATGTCTTCAGTCATAAAAAAAAAAAAAAACCTCAACAAATTTAAAAGAATTAAAATCACCCAGGTTATATTCCCTTAACCATAATGAACTATAAATCAACAAATGAAAAGGAAGGGGAAAATCTCCAAACACTTGAAAATTAAACAACATATTTCTAAATCACTCATGGATCAAAGGAGTTTCAAGGGAATTAGAAAATATTTTGAACAGAACAAAAATGAAATTTTTTCCTAACAAAATTTGTAGAATACAGCTAAAGAAGTGCTTAGAGGAAAATTCATAGCATTAAATATTTGTATGAGAAAAGAATCAGGGCAGGGTTTGAAACATGGCAGACGATGTAGACCAGCAACAAACTACCAACACTGTAGAGGAGCCCCTGGATCTTATCGGGCTCAGCCTAGATGAGCGAATTGATGTGAAAATGAGAAATGACCAAGAGCTTCGAGGCAGACTACATGCTTATGATCAACATTTAAATATGATCTTGGGAGATGTGGAAGAAACTGTGACTACTATAGAAATTGATGAAGAAACATATGAAGAGATATATAAATCAACGAAACGGAATATTCCAGTGCTCTTTGTCCGGGGAGAAGGCGTTGTCCTGGTTGCCCCTCCACTGAGAGTTGGCTGAAACTAAGAATTTGTCCTGTATGGAAAACAGGAGACTTTGTATAGTGGCCTCTCTAAATGTACAAAACATTCAAAAGAGAAACCTGCATACATTTTGATATAAGAAATAATTCTGGGATTCTTCCACGCCTGGAATGAGTTGATTTGCAGATAACTCACAAATTCTTAAGCAAAATGGTATTTTCATTCTTCTCAAGCTCTTCCAATAAATATGATCACCAAGATGCAGAAAAAAAAAAAGAATAAGAAAGTTCTTAGATCAATAATCTAAAATTTTATAAGAAACTAAAATTAAAGAGCAAAATAAACTCAAAATTGACTCAAAGCAAAATAGAAGAAAGAAAATTATAAAGAAGATAAATGATTAAACAGAAAAAATTAGGGAAATCAATGAAACTAACTGCAGGTTTGTTGAAAAGATTGATACATCTCTAGTAAGAATGTCAAAAAATTACAATAATAAGAGAAACTGGTCAGGCGTGGTGGCTCGTGCCTGTAATCCGAGGACTTTGGGAGGCCAAGGTGGGTAGATCACTTGAGCCTAGGAGTTTGAGACCAGTCTGGGTAATGTGGCGAAATCCCACCTATACCAAAAACACAAAAATTAGCCAGGCATGGTGGTGCACACCTATAGTCCCAATTACTCTGCAGGCTGAGGTGGGAGGATCACCTGAGCCCAGGAAATTGAGGCTGCAGTGAGTCCCACAATCGCACCACTGCACTCCAGCCTGGGCAACAGAGTAAGAACCTGTCCAAAAAGAGAAAGAAAAAGAAAAAGAAAATAAGAAAAACTACAGAAATTACCAATATCCAGAATGAAATGGGGGGATATCACTACAAGCCCCACATACACTAAAAGGATAATAAGGAAATATTATGAACAACTCTATACATGGAAAGTCAACCACTTAGATGAAATAAACTCATTCCTCAAAACCCATGAAATACCAACTTATCCAATATGAATTAGCTGACATGAATGGTGCTACATCTATTAAAGAAATTGAATTTATAGCAAAAATCTTCTGAAAAAGAAATCTCCTGGCCTGGATGGTTTTACTGGATAATTCTACCAAATAGTTAAAGAAGAAATACCACTAGTTCTACATAATCTCTTCCAGAAAATAGAAAAGGAAAACTTCCAAACTTATTTTATGGGCTCAGCATCACCCTGAGACCAAAATCAGACAGTACAAATAAGGAAAAGCTACAGACCATCCCCCACGAAAAGTATAAAGAAGAAAGACCACATGATCATATCAGTTGATGCAGAAAAATCATTTGACAAAATTCAACATCAAAATATGATTTTTTTAAAAACAGTGTCAGTAAACTAGACATAGAGAGAAACTTCCTCAAGTTGATAAAGAGCATCTATGAAAACCCTGCAGTCGACATTATACTTAATGGCGAAAGACAGAATGCTTTGTCCTAAGATAGAGGAAAAGAAAAAAATGAGTCCTCCTAGCGCTTCAATCAATATCATACTGGAAGTCCTAGCCAGCACAGTAAGGCAAGAAATGAAGAAGGCATATGGATAAAATAGGAAAAAGAAAAACTGTCCCTATTTTAGGTGACAATAATTGCCTATATAAAAAATCCCAAGGAATTTGCACACACACAAAGCCCTACAGCTAATAAGTGACTTTATCAAGGTCACGGGATACAAGTCAACACACCATAAACAACTGTACTTGAATATATTCACAATGCACAATTGATAAGCAACATTAAAATATATTTACCACAGCTACAAAAAATTAAATACTTAAATGTAAGTCTAACAAAATATTACAGGATCCGTATGATGAAAACAAATACTAAGGAAAGGTATCAAATAAGACCTTACTAAATGAGATACATACTGTGTTCATGGGTTGGAAGATTAAGCATAGTAAAGATGTCAATTCTCCCCAAAGTTTTGTATAAATTTAGCACAATTCAAACCAAAATCCCAGCAGAAATTTTATGTATATATTAATATTCATATAAACATATATAGAAAGAGAGAGAAAGAGAGAGAGGGGAGCTGATTTTGAAATGAATATAAAAAAGCAACTAAACCACAACAGCTGAAACAATTTTGAAGACAAAGAATAAAATTGGTGGAAACACTCTTGCATGTTTTAGGAGTTGCTATAAAGCTACAGCAACCAACACATTGTGGTACTGGTGGAGAGAGACACACATCCATCAGTAGAACAGGATAGAAAGAAAGTCCTGAAATAGTCACACAAACATGGCCGAGTGATTTTTGATAAAGGTACCAAAGCAATTCAATGGAAAAAGGATAGTCTTTTCAACTAATGTGAACAGGGGTTGACTCCAGCTCCAAGCTGGAAAACCTGTTTCCCAAATTCTGTGTCCTGGAGTTGATAAGGAAAGACAACAGTACTAATGGTGTTGGAACAACTGGACATCTATATGCAAAAATTAACCTTGACATCAATCTCACAGCTTACAAAAAAATTAATACAGAAGGCATAATAGACCTAAATGTAGAGCATGAATCCATAAAACTTGTAGAAGAAAACACAGGAAAAATATCTTCTTGACCTGAGGTTAGGTGAAAAGTTCTCAGACATGACACTAAAATACAGTTCACAAAATTAAAAAAGTGATACATTTGGCTTCATCAAAATTAATAACTCTTGATCTACAAAATACTTTATTAAAAGACAAACTATATGCAAGAAAAAAATATTTGTAAACCATATATCTGGTTAAGAACTTCACCAGAATATATAAATAATTCTCAAAATTCAACCGAAAGCAAGCAACCCAAGTTTTAGAAATGAACAAAAGACTTAGACACTTCACCGAAGAAGATGCACGGATGACAAATAACTACATGAAAAAATGATCAACACCACTAGGCATTAAGTAAATACAAATTAAAACCATGATCAGATGCCACTACACACAAATTAGAGCAGGTCAAATAGAAAACACAGACAATACTGGATGTTGGCCAGAATGCAAAACGGTACAGTCACTCTAGAAAATGCTTTGGCAGCTTCTTCCAAATTTAACCCTACATCATATGACTCAGTGATCACACTCCAGGATATTTACCCTAAAAAATTAAAGCTCATGTTTACACAAAAATCTGTATGTGAGTGTTTATAGCAGCTCTATTTATAATTACCAAAAAACTGGAAGCAACACAAATGTCCTCACATGGGTGAATGGATAAACTGTAGGAACATCCATACACTGGAATACTACTGGCAATAAAAGGAATTAACTATGGACACACACAATCACATGAATGAATCTTAACGTCACTATACTGAAGTAAGGCGGCCAGTCCCCAAAGGTTGTGTACTACATGATTCCACTGATATGATACTCTCAAAAATGAAAAACTATAGTGATGGAAAACAACTCAATGGTTCCCCGTGGTTAGGGCTAGGAAGAGCACATGACTGAAAAAGGGACAGCCCAAGGAAGATTTGGATGGTGACAATACTGTTCTTTATCCTCATCATGGTGTTGGTTACATGAATCTGTACATACGTTAAAAATCACAAATTGTACACAGAAGAAAAGATCAGTTTTGCTATAATGATAGTTGATAATTATAAGAATCTAAACTAATAATGAGTCTGAGATGCATTTGCCTGTCTCTATCTCAACATCCCAAAGTTATCTCCAGATGTGAATATTCATTTTCCCCATCAAAACAGGAACTTCAAGTCTGTGGCTTTAGATGTGTTTTCAAATACACAAATTGCTTTTGAATTTTTATTTTGAATGAAAGGTTGCAGTGGCATGACATTTGATTTCCTACAGAAAATAAAACCAGAGACACGGGACTTTCCGGGGCAGTTTGGGAGGGGGCAGGGTGGCTGCAGGGAGAGAAGCTGGGTGGCTGCGGGGAGAGAAGCACGGAAGCTGGGAGAAGGCCTGAGAAGTGGGGTGGAAGGGAGCTGCTTTCCCAGACTCTGATCCTCCAGACACAAGACACAAAGGAGGTTGCCAGATTCTAAGAGTAAAAGACTATTTTCCAGCAGAAGTTAAAAACCGGTTGACATTCATTTATCTGAGAGAAGAGTGGTAAGAATTTACATCCAACCTAACCATTAAAGGACTGATTTAGAAGCACTTAGAAGAAAAATTCATACCATCTTTAGCCTGAGAAAGTAATTTACCAGGTCTTTATTTCAGTTTTACTCTGCCAGTGTTTCTTAGGACTTTGATAATTAACAAGTTCAAAAACAGAATTAGAACAAGATGAATTTTAAATGCAAAAGCCTGGTTCCACATCTGAATTATCTCTTACAAGCCAGCTAGATGTGATTAACTCTGCCACCTAGGGGCTACAAAAAGTTTTCCCTAGGGAAAAAATTAGAAAAGAAAACATTAACTCTTTCATGCAATTCTTCGAAAAATATTAATTCATTGATTGAACAAATATGTATTAATACCTCTCATGTGGCAGGCACTGTCAGCACTGGAAAGGGAACTGTGAAAAGGTTGGACAGTCCCCTGCCTCCCCAAACCCACAGTGACTTTGAGGAGTGAGGGCCAAGAAGCCACTCTTCTGTCTGGTGCACCCCAGGCTACCTGCTCTGCTCCAGCCCACTCGTCACAATCACACCATTACATCCCCCAGGCCCCAGAATTACAGGGCAGGCGGGGTTTTTCCTACTGCTTCACTGTCTTCGGCCAGTTTCTCCTTGTCCCATCTCATCGGCTCTAGGACACAAAACTCAGGAAACAGGTTTTCCAGTTCTGAACTGGAGCCAACCCTGTCACAGTCCACCCTAGCTGAGCATCCACCATGATGCTGGCCTAGTCTTGTCCCAAGCCTGGCCCAGTGAGATGCAGGGCTGCACTTAAAAGAATGGTTTGGAAACAATCTGCAGAAAAGGATCTTCGTGGAAACATGAGTGCTACCCTACAAGGAGCCCAGGAGGGGCCTCTCCTCCCTCCCCCACCCAGTCAAGGCTAGGGGCACAGAGAAATCTGCCTCCTCCCAGCAGAGGCAATGTGACCCAGGGCCCAAAGTAGAATGCCCTGAGAACACAGCCCCAGTTCCCCAGCACAATCTGGTCACCTTTAGCCCCAAAAACAAGGATTTCTTAAACAAGACATAAAAAGCACCAGCCATAAAGAAAAGGACTGATAAGTCCAAATCCACTAATGTTAAAATTTTCTGATTCTCAAAAAATGAAGGAAGGAAATGAAAAGATAAGCCACATAATCTGATTTAGTCAACACATAATTAACAAAGGACTAGTATCCAGAAGGTGTTAAATTGAACCCTATGAAACTGCCATTTTTTAGAAGTCAAAAATGGTCAAATGCCAGCAATTTCACATGAAGAATTCTTATAAATCATTAAGGCAGACAACCCAACAGAAAAAAATGCCAAAGATCTGACACAGCACATAAGAGGAAGCCCAAATGGCTTCCTCTGGAATACCAGAAATTCATACCATCTTTAGCCTGAGAGAGTAATAACCTCATCAATAAACCTCATCAATAAACCAGGTAGTCAAATTAAAGCCTCAATAAGATAACATGAATTAAATCCACAATATTCCACAAAAATTAAAGTCTGGCAGGCAATACCAACTGCTGGTTAGGATGTGGAGCAATAGGAACTCTTGTACACTGCTGGCAGAAATGTAAACTGGTACAACCACTTTGAAAAACAGGCATGAATTAGCAAAGTTGAAATATATGACTTATGACTCCACCAGTGCATTTCAAGGTATACACCCAGATACACAAATTACCAAGGTCATGTGTACAAAAAGGAAATACATTGTTCATAACATCCCCAAACTAGAAACAAGACTAATATCCACCATCATTAGAATGGATACACCCATTGTTGCAAATTCCCAGAGCAGAAAATTACATGTTAATGAACAACCTACAACTACATAAAATTGAGAAAAATATACAAGACAAAAAAATTATCTTCAGTAAGACCCTGTTTATAGAAAGTTCAAAACAGACAAAACTACCTTATATCCTTTAGGAATGCCTACATAAAAGGAAAAAAATCTAGAGAAAAGCAAAAAAGTTATTTGCACCAGAGTTGTTATATGGCTCGTTTCTGGAGACAGGGAGAAAGGGAGGGGTTGTTATTAGGGGGTTGGGGGTGCTTCTGGGGCAATGAGCTATTCCTTGATTTGGTGACACATTAAGTTTGTTTTATAAGTATTCACACAACTCTATATGCTTAATGTTCATTTGTATGTATACTTTATAATTAAAAAGAAAACTAAAGAACCCAAAAATTCTGTCAAAGTCAAATATCTTTAGACAAATCTTAAAGACAAAGGGAATGAAAATTCCATCAAAGTGGTGCAGTGACCTGAGTAGGAGTTTACAGATTATAATCTGACATGAAAATCAGAAATTATATGAACCAAATCTAGGAGGGACAGCTAAACGGCCACCGCCTTTAAGTAACAATGTCCCTCTTTTAGACTCTAGAGAGGATTCAAGGGATCCCAGCAGTGTCCCATAAATGTAGACACACCCCAACAGTATTCTCTAGTTAAGAAGTTCAGCAAGGTGGAAACTCATTTCCCAAAATCAAGAACCACAATTTACAAAGAGAAATTATATGCTGAGCAGCACTTTTTGAGGCAGGAGATGGTAGAGAGGGAACCAGAGACTGGATACAGGAAGAATGAGTGAGAACATGAGAGCAGAAGCAAGGTGAAGGGGCGAATGAGCAAGAAATGAGATAAGAAGCACAGGCTGAGCAGCCAAAACAAAATGAGATTTTTAAAAAGTAAGGAGCCCACATGACCAGCTAGATCCAGACCAAACCTGTCATGGGCAGCACCTCAGAGATGGGTATGCACATTAGACAGAAAAAGTATACTTAAAATGTTCCCGTATGGTAATTAGCTACTTAAAGTTCATGCATATGGACTGCATATTATGCATGTACTTAAAATTATGGGATGGAGGTGACTCACAAAAAGTTGCAAGCGCACAAGGGCCAAAGTATTAAATAACTAAGCAACCCACCTGTCCATCAAAAGGCAGACACTGGCTAGAGATTAGACAGTCTTGGCCAGAGAAGAGAAAAAATATATACATGAATTCAAAGTACACCAAATTGACGTCGATCTCATTTCTCAGAGGTCAGTCCACTCTCCACTCTCTGAAAGTGTAATACTATGTGTCATACACTTTTGCTGCTTTGCTATCTGTGTGTATCTCCTCCAATTCTTTGTTCAGGACACCAAGAGCCTGGAGCTGCACGGTAACACTTTCAAGGAGAACAAAATAAAACCAACATCAGGGATGCCGCTAGTTCCAGAAATGTTTGCGAAAGTCGATCAAATGAATTGGGTCATTTTTGTCATACCCAACTAAAGCAAAGTCAAAAAGCCAGGGGGAAAAGCACTCAGGAAAGATAGCATTGCTCCAAGAATGTAATTCTCCTCATGTCTAACTGCTGAAACCAACTATTGTAACCTGAGACCAGTTTTATCTACTGCTGCTGAGATAACTTGCTGCAGCTCTAGGACTGATTTTGCCCAATGCCATTGCCCACCAGTTGGAACTTGCCAGCTCCCCAGAGCCTTATTAGTGCCAATGAACTTTCTCAAAGAGCAATGGGTAACATTCGGCAAAATCTTCAGCCTTCTCTTTGTTCTTACGGTGTGCCTGTGTGTCCCAAGTGGCAATCCTTTCTTCCCAAATAAACTGTTAAATTTAGAGCTCAGTCTCTACGTTTTTATTTTGACTTCAATAATTTGAAGACAGAAAGAGTGGGAAACGCAGTAAAGGAAGCCGAGAGTATGAACTCCCATGCCACAGCTGAATTCATAAAGGACCACCGGGTTTGGAGGCCGGGTAATAGATGAGAGGAACTTAAGAAAGGCAGTGCTATCCCCAGTGAGCTTGAGGAACATATGTCTGTCCCTGCCATGTAGAGGAAGATAGCACCTGGCATTTTACCTGGCCACAGCACACACGCATTAAATATTTGCTGAGTGAATTCCAAACCAGGAGTGTTTCCAAACTCACCAAAGCTGCGCTACTGGGACATGAGGTGGCACTGTGCGCATTCCCGGGGCGGGGAGGCGGGGCTTAGCACAAGGCTCCCTCATCATTGGCTGTTAGAGAGTGAGCGGGCAGGCAGGTTGTCCATTGGATACCAAGATATGGCGGCTCCCTGACTAGGAGGACATGACCCTACACACTTTAGTTCTTTGACTTGACCTTGGGAAGATAGGGCCAGCCAGCAAGGTGGCTAGGGAGAAGAAGGCTGAGGTCCCCAGGCCACAGACAGAAATTGAGGGTTGGGAGCCGAAGTGGAACTGGAGCTGGCGCCACCCTGTGGCCCTCCTCCACCCCAATCCCGGGGCCCTCCTGCCCCAGCGTCATCCCGCTGCACTAGGACCTACAAGGGCGGCCTCTGGGAGCCCTGTGCTTCACCTCCTCTGCAGGGTCAGGTTGCAGAAAGAACAAGCTCCTCCACCCTGCCTGGTGGACATGGAAGGAGGGCAAGTGTTGGCTGCTGTGGTAACTCGGGGTAGCCATGTTTTTGTGCAGTCATTCTGACCCCATCTTAATGGACAAGGATTGTCCCATCTGTTTCTACAGCTGTTTCCCAAATAGGTAGTGCTGTCCTAAGGAAGCACCCACCTGGCCCAACATGTTGGGTTTCTTTGCGGCTGCCTTGCCTCCCCAACCAATTGTAACCTCTTGGAATCAGGACTGTCTCCCGTGCGTTTTCTTTTCCCTGCAGCCTCGCCTGCAAAGGCTTCTGTGCCTTACTTGAGGTGCCCTAGCAAATGGGTCTTTTCGAACATTACCCACCTCAACCTAAGTCCTGGGTCAAGCTGGTTCTCTGCCTATTCAGAACAGAGTGTGTCTTTACTGTCATGCCATTACCTGGGCAAAGGAATTGCCAGACGGCAGGTGGCACAAAATTCCTTTGGAACTCCAAATTCTTTTTTCAGCTTAGTCTTCCCTATGATTCCGACATTTTCTGCCTGAAGGCAGAACACATGGGTTGAGATTGGGTTCTCAGAATAGAGGGGTGGAAACCAAAGCGGGTCTGCTTGAAGATTCCATTTTGAGCCTTCTTCCCAACAAGTATGTGGCTAGCCCTGAAGACAAAAACAAAAGAAAGGAATGAGATCAAAGTATCTGTTCCCCTGGCTTCCTCTGTGCCGGAGCACAGCCTGGCTTGGCACTGTTCTGCCAAAAGCCACCGACTTGGTCGGGTGACTGTGTCCTGCAGGTCTCCCCCGATCTATTAGCCATGCCCTCTCCTTGCCTCTTCTCGCCTACCTAGGGGTGAAAATGGCTTCCAACTGCGCTTGGCCTCAAGGTGCTTCATCTCCCCTGGTGATGTCCTTGCCCCTGCCTCATTTTTGTAAATAGTCCCTTCATTAAACTCGATATTCTTCCTTCTTCTGAGAATGCCGTTTCCTTGCAGGACCCTAACTGACTTTTCTGACTTTTCTTTTTCTTCAACTCTACTCTCCTTTGATCCTGGAATCAACTCCATTCACAATAGAGTACTTACAATTGCCAGCTACTGCGCTAAGCAGTGGCCATGCAGACATAAGAGGCAAAGGTTACAGTCCGTGGATATCTTAGGAGGCCAGGGCTATGATGGAGGTCAGCTCCAGGTGGGGGCACGGTGGAGAGAGGAAGATGATCAAGGGAGGCATCAGTCAGCAGCAGCCAGGCAAAGGCTGGAAGGGGCAGAGTGTTCCAGGCAAGGGGTGTGTGCTGAGATAGGAGCCTAGGTAGGCTGACATTGCTAAGACTGGTGAGAGGTCAGACCCTAGAAGTACACAGAAGCCAACATATCCCAGTAGGTGGCCTCTGGAGGACTTGGGCAGGGTAGCAAATGGCCAGATTCCCACTGTGGAAAGGTTATTCTAGCAGAGGCAGACAGACTATATTTGGAGGAGACAAGTTTGGGAGCAGGAAAGCCGGTAGGAATCTACTGCAGGAATTTAGGTAAAACATAGCAAAAGCACAATCCAAAACAATACGGGTGGAAATGGAGTGCAGGAGACAGGTGAAGGAATTCTCAGGAAGTAGAACTTGCTGGGGCATTGGATGCGACCGGGAGGGGAAGAAATATGAGTCTGGCAGAACTCTCAGATGCCTGGCTGGAGCATTTGGGGGTTTATGATGGCATTCCCCATGATAAGGAAGGCACAGAAACCTGTGGGGGCAATATGTTCTGCTTGTAGTTTGTTGAGTTTAAGGTACCTGTGGGCTAGGCAAAGAAAAATGCCCATAAGGAAAATGGGGATATGGGTCTGAAGCTCAGAATTGTCTAGACTAAAGTTATGCAGTTGATCATCATTGTCATGATAGGGGAGGAATGGTGTAAGCCAGGAGTATGCTAAGCTTCTGCTTCCATGCTTTCTATTGAACAATAATGAAAATGCTGAACATTTCTTGAGTACTGACTACATGGCAGGCAATATACCAGGTATTCCGTGGTGAATGCTTTGACGTCATTTATTAGAATCCTCACAGCAACCCTATGAGGCCCTGACTAGTGTTTTCTCCATTTTTGAACTAGGAAACTAAGGCTCAGAGAAGTTCAGAATTTGTCCAGGGCCACACAGCTAGAAAATGTCATAACTGAGATTTGAAGCCAGACTTTATGACTCCTGGTTCACCTCAGTTACTTGTTCTATAAAAAGGTTTTATATTTTTTCCCTTCATGTAGTTTACCCCCAAGAACAGGTAAGCCTTAAAGATGAGACTAGAATTAACTGCCCTTTTCTTACAAACTCTCGGCTTTCAGATCTGTACCTGTTGATGAGAGAACCTCCAGATTTGTCCCCCACTACCAATGATGAGGCAAACACAGAGGGAGGAACCCCTTTGACTAAAGCTGAGTTAACCCTTAACTTCTCTTTGAATGACTTGCATTCAAATCAAGTAAGCAGCTGTTCAAAGAATTCAGTCAGAGGTGTGACTTGTGCAGTGATAGCTGAAAACGCAAATCCTGATCTATACCTCCCTGTTTAAAGCATTGTACTGGCTCCTCATTGCCTTCAGGATAAAGTCTAAATTCCTTCCACATCTCCTTCCCTACTCCTCCAGCATTCTGATTAGCTGAGCCAAGTACTCTTACCCCAGTACAGACAACCTAACTGTGCAGAACTACTCACAATTCCTAAACACCATCGAGGGCCAAGCCTCTGCCTTTTGCCCCTCAACATTTACTATGAAAATTTTCAAAAATAAAATTTTTAAAATGTATAAGGGAATATCTATCTAGACATAATATTAATATTTTCCTGTATTTGCTTTATCATGTATCAATTCATTTATCCATCCCATTTTTATGTATTTCAGAGTAAGTAGTAGACATCTGCATACTTACCCCTAAATGCTTCAGCATGCATATTATTAACTAGAGTTCCAAATTTGTTTCCAGTTCTTTTTTCCTTTTGTATGTAAAATTAACATACATGAAATTTTTCCAATTGTATGTAAAATTAACATACAATGAAATGCACAAATATTAGAGGCAGTGTATTAGTATTCTTGCTATGGTAACAAATCACCACATACTTAGTGTCTTTAAATGACATAAATTTATTATCTTGGAAGTCCAAAATCAGTCTGGCCAGGCCAAAGTCAAGGTGTAATCAGGGCGGGCTTCTTCTGGTATCTCTGAAGCCACAATCTGTTTCCTTGCTTTTTTCACCTGCTAAAGCACTCCTTGGCTCATGACCCCTTCCTCACATCACCAACCTCTTGCTTTCATAGTTATATCTCCTACTCACTCTGATCCCCTTCCTTCTTCTTATAAAGACTGTGATTACATCAGTTCCACACGGATAATGCAGGATAATCTCCCATCTCAAGATCCTTAGTTTAATCTCGTCTTCAGAGTCCTTTGTGCCATGTGAAGCAACATATTCACATCTTCCAGGAATCAGGATGTGACCCTCTTGGAGAGCCATTATTCAGCCTACCACATGCACATTTAATGAGTTTTTACAAATGCATACATTTGTGCGACCCAAACTCCCAGCAAGAAAGCATTACCATCACCCCCAGAACATTCTCATGCCCCTTCCCAGTCTGTCCCGCTCTCACCCTCAACGCCTAGAGGCAGCCACTGTTCTTTTTGCCTCTTCAGAACTTCGTATAGATGGCATTATCCTGCAAATACCTGGTATAGTGTCTGGCATGTAGTAAGTGCTCAGGAAAGAACTTCATCTTTTGAATCTGACTTCTCTTACTTGACACAATGTCATGGAGACTCATCCACGCTGCATGTTTCAGTCTCAGTCCGTTCCTTTTCATTGCAGAGTAATATTCCATCAAATAGGCTACAATCAGGTAGTTCACTTATTCATCCATTCTCCTGTTGACAGACTCCAGGCTGCTTCCAGTTTTTGTGGTTTTTTTGTTTTTGTACAAATCTATGGGGTACATGAGAAAACTTGTTTCTTATGTACAATGTACAGTGATCAAGCCAGGGTATCCCGGGTGTCCGTCACCCAAGTACAATACATTTTGTTAAGTATAGTCATCCTCCTCTGCTATCACACAGTGAATTTATTCCTTCTATCTAACTGTATATTTATATGCTTTAACCCACTTCTCTTTGTTGATGGCTGCTGTGAAACCTCAGTTCTTGTCTTCCTAGTTTCAAGGAATTTAAACAAGAGACACACAGCAAAGGAGAGGCAGCATAGAGCAATTTATTGCAAAGGAGGAAGAATACCCTGAAAGTTAGGTGCAGAATAGACAGGATGTCTGGAGAGGGAAGTCAAGGTGGGCTGCCCATGAGGATGAGATAGCAAAGACCTACTTGAGGGAGAATCACTTTATCGAAGGCTTCCCTGATTATTCATGAGGGGATGGGAAATGGTGTTGCTAGGAAGCATGTTCTGGGTGGTCTTCTGGGTGCACATGTGCAGTACCTGTACATGCTTGTTCGTACATTGCATGTCTCATTAGCACCCTACATCTCCAACCAGGAGTGTTTTTTGTTATTATAATGAGCAAAGGGTCAGTCTGAGGACAGGTAAAATCGAAATGTTCATGCTCTCTACAGGGGAAACTCTCTACTGGAGACAGCTTTGCTTGAATGAGCCTGGCTGCAGTGCGAACGCTGGGGCTTATTGTGTTGACTGTGTGGTCATCAAGGTTGCCAGGTCCCAAGGATATGGTAAATTCCTTGAGTACCTATCCTGCCTCGTCTTCATCCTCCCCCTTTCGCCAGACTCACACTTCCCGGTCTCTGTTCTTTATCTTTCCACTCTCTACCTCCATCTCTGTTCTCTGTATTTCCACCCTCTACCTCCATATGATCAAATCTTTTAGCTTCCACATATAAGTGAGAACGTGTGATATTTGTATTTTTGTGCCTGACTTATTTCCCTTAAGATAATGGCCTCCAGTTCCATCCATGTTGCTGCAAATGACACGTTTCATTCATATAGACGTGTCATATATGGTCTTTTTTATTGTAAGTGTGATCCTTTTATACCTAGTTTGTTGAGAGTTTTTATTATAAATTTTACCAATTTTTATCAAAAATTTTTATCAGAAATTTTATCAAATACTGTTTCTGCATTTATTGAGATGATCATATGGTTTTGTCCTTCATTCTGTTGATGTGATGTATCATATTTATTGATTTGTATATGTCGAACCATCTTTGCATCCCTGGCGAAAATCTCACTTGATCATGGTGTATTATCTTTTTTTTTTTTTTTTTTTTTTTGAGACAGAGTCTTGCTCTATCACCCAGGCTGGAGTGCAGTGGCACGACCTTGGCTCACTGCAACTTCCACCTCCCTGGTTCAAGCAATTCCCCTGCCTCAGACTCCAGAGTAGCTGGGACTACAGGCACCTGCCACCATGCCCAGCTAATCTCACTTTTTGTTTTGGCTGCTCAACCTCTACTTCTTATCTTGCTTCTTGCTCATTTGCCCCTTCACCTTGCATTGTTATATTGTTAATTTTAATGTTTCTACTTTTTGATGGAAGCATTTATTGCTATAAATTTCCCTCTTAGCACTGCTTTTAGTTTTCTCACAGGTTTTGGTATGTTGTGTTTCCATTTTCATTTCTTTCACAGAATATTTTTTATTTCCATCTTAATTTC